ACGGTGTTGATCACAACCACGATCACGTTCTGCTTGGACCCCAGAAAATTCGACGGGGACTACGATCTGATTTGTGGACTCCGGTCCAAGCGAAAATTCCCTGTTCTCTTGCATGTTCAAGAATCCCCCGTTCAAGAATCTTACTATAATCTTTCAAATCGCCTCTAGTTTTATCAAACCGTGGGAAGATATGATGAGGTAGGATTGCTTCCACTAACCATGTATGCAGCACCATCCACAATTTGGAGGAGCAATGGCGACTGTCTCCGACCTGTCTCCGACCTGTCTCCCTATGAAGAGACTTGAATGCCCGTCCTTACCATTCAAGGGAGGAAAAATTATCAAAAAAGTTTTAAATTTATTGCAGTTGTAACTAATTCAGTCATAAACCTTTCAATTTTACCAATGTAGCTTTAAACCTTTTGACGATTTATCAATATAGTTATTCTGTTTGACTGGAAAATGTTGACATGGTGATCCAGTTTGCGCTGGTCATCCTATGTGGTATGACCAGCGTTGACGTGGAGAATTTTGTAATTTATTTCCTTTTTCTGTCTTTTTTCTTCCCTTTTCACTAGTGGCTGACACAGGCGAGGGTCACCCTCGCATGCAGGCGGTGAGGGCCTGGGTGAGGCGGCCCTTGCCCAGAACTTGCAGGCTTGTAGGTTCTTACCGCTGTAATAAAAGTAAAAAAAAGAAAAGAAAAAAGAAAGAAAAAATAATTTAAAATTAAAATTTCAATTTTTAAAAAAAATTACAAAGATTATTCCCATCAGCACCGATAATACTATATAAGACGGCCATCGCCACGTCAACGATTTTAGGTTAAAATTGGCCGGATGGATTACATTGACAAATTGTCAAAAAAATTTAGGATTAAATTAACCAAATTAAAAGTTTAGGACTTAATTGGTACAAATACAGTAAATTTATGATTATTTTGATAATTTTTTTTCTTAAGGGATGAAAATCGAGCATTGCACGCATCTGGTGTAGGCACATATGGAGTGCAAACGAAGGGTGGTACAAGATTCTTCAGGCCCTAATTGATGGAGGGATGAGGGGTGTCCCATCGCTTCTTTCCCCCACATGCTTAGAGCCGCCTTGTGTTGTCCATTCCATCACCCCTCTAAAGGTCGTGAGGACAATCACGATTCACGTATCTTGTTTAAGATTTCAAGAATGTGGATGTCGAATCTATGAGATTGTTAATGGGATTGGGATTCGTAAAATGATTGAAGTCATTGACTCGATTTCATATAACTTATTAATAAAAAATTTGCTTTGATTCAAGGCCATATGTACAAGTTAAAATGTTGAACTTAATCAGCTTATCTTATGAAATTTATACGGTGTTTCACGAGCCTTCAAATAACTGAGTCCCATGCCCTTGATAATGAGATGTGCACCCCTTTAGCATGAGATGCGCGCCCTTGATCAACAGGAGCGCATCCTCGCTTTAAGGAGCGTGCCCTTGATCGTAAGGAGTACACACTGGACCCTTAGAGGCGTGCACTCGACCCTCAAAGGCGTGTTCCTCACCATCAACGGCGGCTTGCCGGCTTCTTCGCAAAATCACAGAGGAGAAACCTCCACTTGAAATGAGAGTTTTGCCCAAGCAACCAAGAAAAGAGCACACGCTCTTTTGGTTTTGCTCCAATACTAAGATTAGAAAGATCAAATAGGCATGTAGTTTAGGTTTTTTCTTTTACTTTTCTCAGCAAAGAGAAATGGATTATTCGCGTGCTCGAAAGCTAGTGATAACTAATGCGAGATTACTTATGTTCAAAGGTCAGAAAATGCACTAATAGCAACGGAATTCATCCTTGCCTTCAGGCGAAAGGACATTCCTGGGGAGCATTAGCCAAACGCCCATTTATCGGACAAACATGTCATTTATCAGGTTGAAACAGGACGCTTTCAGATTATGCAAGAGAGATATAATATCAGTCCAAAGCAAGCCCATGTAGGTGGAGTATGAGTGTTCTTTGAAAAGCCCGCTCTCTGAGATTGCCATGAGGCAAGTGTACAGTGAAAAGTGGGCTTTCAGTTAACAGAGGCCGAGTCTGATACTGTTCCTCGACTGACGGTGCTGGTGATCTGTTTTCTTCTGTTGTTTGTACTTGGGGAAAATTCGGGAAAAAGTGCCAAAGAAGTCCTAAATCTTTTGCATTGATGCCAATTTAGTCCTAAACCTTTTTTTGGTGCCAATTCAGTCCTAAATCTTTTGCATTGATGTCAATTCAGTCATAAATCTTTTTATGGTGCCGATTCAGTCCTAAACTTTTTATACTAGTGTCAATGCAGTCCTAAACCTTTTGTTTTTGTGCCAATTCAGTCATTCCGGCCAATTTTGCTGACGTGGATGCCGACCGGCCGGCGGCCAGTCAGCGGCGGCTAACGTGGACAACTTTAATAATATTTTAATATTTTTTTTGATTTTTTCTTTTTTTTTCCCCCTCCCCTCCCTCCTTCCTCCAAACGGTCACCAGACCGAGGACCGGCCAGAGGCCAAAGGCCGGCGAGGGCGACCTCGCGCTGGGCGAGGCTCGACCTCGCCATGGCTGGGCAAGGCCCAACCTCGCCTGATCTAGCGAGGTCGTGCCTCGCCCAGCCGCCGGTGAGGCTCGAGCCTCGCCAATGGCCGGCAAGGTCGACCTCGCCAGTGGCCGGCTAGGGCGAGCCTCGCCGACGCCGGCCTCTGGCCTCTGGCCAGTCACCGGTCCGGCGACCGGCTAGAGGAAGGAGGGAGGGGAGGGAAAATAAAAATAAAAATTCAAAAACATATTAAAATATTATTAAAAGTTGTCCACGTCAGCAAAATCCGGCCAAAATTGGTTGAAATGACTGAATTGGTACAAAGACAAAAGGATTAGGACTGAATTGGCACAAAAAAAAATATTAGGACTAAATTGGCACCAATGCAAAATGTTTAGGACTGATTTGGCACCAAAAAAAGATTTAGGACTAAATTGACACTAATGCAAAAGGTTTAGGCCTTTTTTGGCACTTTTCCCGGGAAAATTCTATCCTCTAACAAAAATGTCTATGGAAACGAGGTTATCTTATCTCTACTGCTATATAAAGGGAGAGTTTGAAGTTTTGGTCTCAGTTTACAGTAATGAAGCTCCAAGGATGAATATATGAATTTGGATATGTGTGTAACATTATATGTGATTTTGTAGTGGACAGTATTGTATACTTTTTCCTACTGGCGAACTCAGTCACGGGTCAATAAGATTCATTAGGTTCGTGCCCGCATATGTTTACACCTCTCGTGGCTTGGTCTTCGGATTTCTATGTGTATGCTTATATGTGTGAGATTGCAATGGATTCCCCGACGGACAAAATTGGTGGTGCACCCTTTTTGCATGACTCTATTGGGTCAAAGTACTCCGGTCCGTTTAAGTTGGGATCAACAGCGGTAATTTCAACCGGATCAAAGAAAAGAAAAGTTGTGGCCCTCCACCACCTCATCGTTATGCCATTGAAATAAGTTTCGGTATTCTAGAGAAAGGTGGAACAAGAGCAAAATTTGATTTTTTCTTAAGCCAGAAGAAGACTTTTTCTATGGTGTTTCTGTAACCTTGTCACTGTCATTTTCTGAAAATGATTCGAACTTTCATTTGAAGGGAAGGATGAATGCAAGCTAAGTAATTGAAATCCTTACACCAAGCGAACATGACAACAGTTACATGTCGATTTCATCGAATTGAGGTAAGAGATCGAGACCAAATCTGTACCTGAGGTCAACAAATGGGAGAGTCTCTAGGAAAACCTGGAAAAGAGCAAACTCAATTTCTGCAATTAGGGTTTCTCGTATTGATGTGATTTTAATGGTGACACTGGGAGGAGAAATCATGGTCTTCGAGCCAGCCTAAGAAATCAATTAACTAGTAATCCTATTGGCACGCACTCCTGGAAATAGCCAATATGATAATTAACCAAGTCCAGGAAAATCAGTGAGACATAGCTCAAGGCGTTGAACTAGGATCAGTATGTTTCCTAAATTGCCTCTATCCCTCAGAGTTGCAAGCTATGGCTGACTGTTTTGTCTAGACCTTGTTTCAATTTAGACTATTCAATCCTAAAGGGCCTTTGGTCGGGGCTTATTCTCACATCATCTAAGCGTACACATTGGAGGTTTGCATGTAACTCCGATTCTACGAAAGATGAGGCTGTATAAATCTCCTCTTTTGACGTACCAAGTTTTGTATGCATTCTTTTTGTCGTTTAAGCATTGTCCAATGACACATTCATTTCAATTTCAGGCAAGCCAACTCGTTCTTTTTTCCAATACACTATGGTAGCATTAGTGTTTTCTTCTCTGGCACTCTTCTTGTGCAAATTGTACTCTCTACATTGATGGTGTGTCTTATGTATAATCTTTTATTAATACAATGAAATTATCTCAAATCAGAAGATGATTGGCGGGTGGTGTTTGAGAATTCTTGCGTGAAGCTAGACTTAGTTGCAACTGAAATTAGATAACATGGAGAGTGCTTTTGAGATCCATGACCGTCAGTGGTCGTGATTTACTTCGTTCATGATAGACTAGACCTCGACCTCAAATGATTGACGAAACAAATTATCATGTAATTTCATTTTATGATTGATTCTATCCATCGCATCATTTATAAAAAAAGCCTACATGAAATTTTATTGGTGACATGTTAACAAGTGTTCTGAGTAACTTGTTAAGTACACTCCGCAAAAGAAACTTTGATTTCTACAATATTTAAAATATAAATTATGAATATCACTTAAAATAAGTCGGTGCATAACAAGGACATTTTTCATCAAATATTAACTCTCCCCTCATCAATGAAAACGAAAAGGAGCAGAAATTTCGCTTAAGGAATTCCAGGCCTTTTCTCCGAATCTCACGCCACTCCATGTCTCCAGCCCCGCACAAACTCATCGCTCACTTCACTTGCGACTCACGAGACGACCCTTTTGATGGATCCAACTTTGGTACTATAAAAAACGTTAAATGTATACATGTTACATCCCATTCTCTCCTCCGTATCCTCATCTATTCAAGCAACGCCTAGATAACCGCAAAGAAGAGGGAAAAGATGGAGGGCGGAGAAGAAGACGTGAGGGTGGGAGCCCAACGTTTCGCGGAGGGGCAAGCCATCGGGACAGCCGCCCCGACCCACAGAGAAGGGAAGGACTACCAAGAGCCACTGCCCGCCCCATTGTTCGAGGCGGTGGAGCTGTCGTCGTGGTCGTTCTTCCGGGCGGGTATCGCGGAGTTCGTGGCGAGTTTCTTGTTCCTCTACGTGACGGTGCTCACGGTGATGGGCGTGGAGAGATCTAGCAACAAGTGCGCGACCGTGGGGGTCCAAGGCATCGCTTGGGCCTTTGGTGGCATGATCTTCGCTCTCGTGTATTCTACTGCTGGCATTTCAGGTAGATCCTTGGTACTTCTATGCAAAATGGCACGTTTTACGTGCCTTGTATTCCAGTTAAAAGATACTTCTAAGATACCGGAGCCATTCATTATTGTCAATTAATAGATATTATCCAATGGTTGACGGTTAATGATGCGCGGTATCGTATTATATGCAGGGGGTCACATTAATCCGGCCGTGACTTTAGGGCTGCTATTGGCGAGGAAGCTGTCGCTGGTCAGGGCGGTGTGGTACGTGCTGATGCAGTGCATGGGAGCCGCGTGCGGCGCCTGGGTGGTGAAGAGCTTCCAAAAGAGCCAGTTCGAGAGGCTTGGCGGCGGCGCCAACACCGTGAGCTCCGGTTACACCAGGGGCGCTGCCCTCGGGGCCGAGATCCTCGGCACCTTCATCCTCGTCTACACCGTCTTCTCCGCCACCGACGCCAAGCGCAGCGCGCGCGACTCCCACGTCCCTGTAAGAACACAATTTGCTCTTGAAAAACAAAACGTGTGTCTCCACTTTATCAACATGTCTTCCCCATGTTGAAATCTTGCTGAAGATTCGAAATGGTTGGTGATGTGGTCAGGTATTGGCACCGTTGCCCATTGGATTTGCAGTGTTCTTGGTGCACTTGGCCACGATTCCCATTACCGGGACCGGCATTAACCCGGCCAGGAGTTTCGGGGCAGCCCTTGTCTATGATAGGGCACGAGCTTGGGATGACCACGTAAGCTTCTTCTTCCCATCATTTTTGGATTTTTTTGGGACAAAAATATACATAAAAGGATTATGTCGGACTTTAATAACTTTTTAAAAGGATTAAGGTAAGTCGAGAATAAGAGCTCGAAGTGCAAAAGGCACGTCGAACACTCACCTGATCTGTGATATTTTTATTGGACGCAGTGGATATTTTGGGTGGGGCCATTCACCGGAGCGGCACTCGCGGCGATGTACCATCAGCTGGTGATCAGGGCCGTTTTTTTCAAATCCAATTTTTTCAGATCCAAATACGTCGTTTGAGTCTGAAAGAATAAGGGTGCTTTTGAATGGCGTGTTAATGTATATGAAATATTGTGTTCCTAACTAAGTGTATGTATATTTGTATTGGGCGGGTGAGATGTGAGGAGTGTTGTTGCGTGCCCTCCTTCAGTTCAATAAAATTTGTGGATGATTATATTGTTGAGAAAGTTCGATTTATGATGAAGATACAAGTAGTAGTATATAGTTCTTTTGATGCTTTGATGCGTGATTATGATTACCGTCTTTAAGTTATTGTTTGCATCCTCACTATTGTTGATATCGGGTTTAAAACAAATAAACTTTCAGGATATACACTAAAGCCACAAAAAAATAAGTTCAGCAATTAGTCAAATTATTTGTCAAACTTACGTGCAAAAAGAGAGACATAATTATGAAGGAGAGAAAGTTGTTTTGAAGAGAGAGCTATGGAGAAGAGAAAGTTGTTACAAACAATGTGTGATTTGGTCACATTTATAAATAACCAAACAACGTATCAAAATCATCACCATTTCTCATGATCAATTGTCACTCCTCTTTGTATTAATAATCACTTCTTTTCATATCCAATAATCGCTTCTCTTAATTATTTATAAATAACAAACTATTTCAACACATATGAGGTGCATTTGTCGATTCTCAATCTCTATCTACATGGTGCGAGAGTGTCGTGGATCAAAGTTTCAAACACACGGTTTCATTATTTTTTCACGAAGATCCATGCTTTGAAGGTACCATTAAATGCGTCATTGGCATATTCGATCCTTTCAAACATATTTAAGCACTCTGCTAAAATCAAGTGGATACTTATTGGAATATTAAAAAAAATTAAACCGCGCATCCACGTTTAAGCTTTTAGTTTGTTAAGGCGATGAGATTATAAGAAATCCCAAAAGAGAGAAAAAGAAATTGCAGAAAGCCAAAAAAAAGATTGGGGGCGAAAATGTATATCCCAGAAGTTAAAGGGGACACAAAGGTCATTTCCATGAGCGCCAATCTTCCTTCCTCAACGATTTCCTTCTTGGAAGCTCAGTTGGCAATTGCTCATCGCCATTGCAATCCCAGAAAATTCATAATCGTCCGGGCATGGAGAACGGAGATTCCAACGCCGCCGCCCCCCCGCCGCCGCTGCCGCCGCCCAATCCCGACAGTATCAAGCTCAACGTCGGCGGCAAGCTCTTCGAGACTACCGCCTCCACCCTCCGGTCCGCCGGCCCCGACTCCCTCCTCTCCGCCCTCTCCAGCCGAGCCGCCCAGGACCCCAACCCCATCTTCATCGACCGCGACCCGGACGTGTTCTCCGTCATCCTCTCCCTCCTCCGCACCGACCGCCTCCCCTCCACCGCCCTCCGCTTCTCCAAGCATGACCTCGCCGACGAGGCCATCTACTACGGCGTCGACTCCCGCCTCCGCTCCGCCATGTCCCCCCCTCCCCTCGCCGGCATCGACGCCTCCGTCGTCGCCACCATCCGCCCCGCCTCCGACGGGTTCCCCTCCGCCCTCTTCGCCCACCCGGACGGCTCCGTCTGGATCGCCCACGGCGGCCAGATCTCCAGCTACGACTGGAACCTCTCCCACTCCGCCACAATCCGCACGCACTTCGACGACGTCACCTCGATCCACCGCGTCTGGCCGGAGATAGCCGCCGCGGGGTCGGAATCGGCCGCCGGCCTCCACTTCTACGACTTCTCCAGCGGCCTCCACGTCGGCGCCGCCCACTGGAACGACCCGACGGACCCGCGCATCTACAAGGCCTGGGTCACGGCCGTGGCCGACTCGCCGGGCTCGGTGTACGCCGCGTTCGAGTGCCCGCACCGGGAGAACTGCATCCTCGAGGTCGACAAGTCCACCCTCCAGATCGCGTCCGTGCTCGGCCGGCAGCCGGGCAGCTCGACCAAGCACATGGCCGCCGGGAAGCTCGCCTGGTTGCCGGAGATGGGCCTCCTCGCCGGGAGCGCCGTCATGTGCGGTGCGTTCGGGTACTCGGGCTACATCAGGCTGTGGGACGCGAGGTCCGGGAAGGTGGTGTGGGAGACGAGCGAGCCCGGGTCGGGGCGGAGCAGCCGGTACGGGGACTCCTTCGCCGACGTGGACGCCGACGCCGACTCGTCGAGGCTGTTCAAGGTGTGCTCCAAGTCCGGGGACCTCGGGATGGCGGACCTGCGCAAACTGGGGGACGACCCGTGGGTGTACCTAAGGGAAAAGAACCCGGGCATGGGGAACACGGCGAGCGACGGCGGGACGAGCGTCCTGCGCTGCTACCAGGGGCAGGTGTTCGTGGGGAGGGAAGGGGATTTGGAGGTGTGGTCGAGGGCGGCGGCGGCGGGGGCGTGCGACGGAGAAGGCGGAGCGGGGGAGGAGGGAATGTATAGGAGGAATTATGTGAATAGAGCGGAGGCGGCGGCGGCGGCGGAGAAGGCGGCGGAGAGCGAGAGGGGAGTGATACGGCGGATGGATGGTGGCGGGAATAGGTTGTTCGTGAGTAGGGAGGGGGTGGAGGGGGTTGAGGTGTGGGAGAGCTCTAGATTTGCTGTTGTTGTTCCGGCCTTGTGACCGCCTATTGATTTTTGGGCACTTTGGATCTGTTGGTCTAGAGAAAAAATTTTGGAGTGGTTTCTATCTTGCGTATGCTCCTTCCGCGAATACTTGAGATCGAGACCGTGCAATGCTCGCTCCCTCGACCCGGTGCGACGCTTGACTCGCTCGCCTTATGGTTTGAGTCGTATGTATACGATCTGATGAAGATATAAATGAGAAGTTACCTTTGTATATGCCGATTTGATGATTTCTCGATCTAGCGGTGGACATTCGCACTTCTCTTATCATGTATCCTCCTCGTACAAGAATTTAGTCCTTAAAGTGATATTAACGACTTAAGCATTACATTGCTATAGCATTCTCTCCCGCCAAAATTCATACAAATGTTAACAATTTCATTCAAGGGTAGTTTCAACTATAGTTTCAGTCAATTGTTTGACATCCAGTGCCAAAATGGCCCAGCAGCAACTATCTTAAAGATGGAGCCAAGAGATAACCATTAGTCCTCCGATGACCGACATTGGACTCGATTAGGGGAATAAACCTAATAATTACGACGTATTTCAGCAGATAAGTACATTTATACTCTTCATTTTCTTCTTACTTGGCGTGAAATAACGCAAAAGCTCGTAGACCGTGCAATTCAATATCAAACACAAAAACACCGCAATTACTAATTACTATATAAATCAATAAAAAGCGATAATGACATCAAAGATTTATGTGATTCGATCCTACTATTGATACATAGTTCATATGAAGAGCTAGCCGCAAAGAATTCATTAGATAGGAGAATCATGAAATTACAATTAATAGCTCTTGTGCTCCCCAAGCCCGAGTACACGAATTTTGAGAAGCTCTCGTTTTTTAATTACCTAGTTTCGTTAGGGCCAACGCCCAGGAAATGACTAGGGCAAAATGCACAATTTGGCAGGCTTGCCAGGCGCCTGAAGGGCATGGTCAGCAGCTCAATAGCTTCGGTTATTAGGCTTCTTATGACTAGAGCAGCTCGGGCGCCTCGACCCCTTGTTCTTTCGCACCTTCAATCTCGTCTCAAACTTCTCTCAATCTCTAGGCCGTAGCAAGAATTTAACTTTAACTGACTTCTCAATTAGGTTACTAAACATTGATTAAGTTCACTAGACGCACCAAAAGTTTCATTTCTTTCCTCGACGGTCACTTTGATTGGAGCCTGACCAATTTCCCAAGCAACATGTTGACGCAACCGACATATGGTAGTCGCATAGTATTCACAGAATTGCTCTCGTGTGTGTTGCGTCAACAATTCATCAAAAAATTTAGTATTCTGATTGAATGTGTAATTATCATATTAAAATCAACCATTAATTGAGGATCCTTAATTCTACAAGCGTGATTAATCTTATTGAAAGTGTTATTAAGCATATTTGCATCATATGCAATAATTAAGTATTCTCATTTTAAGCATAGATAAAGTCTCCAGGACTACTTTTAGAAGAAAAAAAAAAGTAAAAAAATTTGTAAATGTTCTAACCACAGTTTTTAACTCGCTAATTTATTGGCGAAATATTTTAGACAAGTTAAGAAATCTTCAAATTATATAATTATCAACCAGTCAACATTAAATTGATTGTAAGACTTGTTTGAGTTGTGGGAACAATATTATTAATATGGCCATCGACATTAACTATCAATACTTATACACATATAATATTATATATTAAAATATAGCGAGTGCCATTTAAGTCTCATTTCGAGTGAAAATGTGATAAAATATGCCTAAAATCTTATCAATAATACTACGAGGACACGTCCTAAAGAATGGGTATCAGAACTATTATCGTAGCAAATATAAAATATAACCACTGAACCAGAACATTCCTAATATCACTTTGATAAAAAAATATAATTTTTTTTATAAGCTTGTACAAGTGGGCAGGTAAGTTGATTTGTCAGTATTGAGCCAGCATTTTTCATCCACGTTTGGATGGAAAATTGAATTTATCCTTAAATTATCACCGGACATAATTTGGGGATTAAATTGTAACGAAATATAACATATGGACCAAAATTGAATACGAACGATATTATAAGTGCGATTTTCCTAATTTCCTTTTTTTTTTTTACGTGGGCAAAGGCAAACGCGCTCGCTCCCTTGGAGTCGGAACATATTTCCCGACCGCCGTGCTCGCCGTTGCCAAAATAGTGCCACCGCCCAACAGCCCCGAAACAGCTGATCGTCCGCTCGTCTCCGCCGTTCTCCGCCCGAGTGCTCCGTCGAAAGCGCCCTTCTCTCTCTCCCTCCCCCGCCTTCAACGCCGTCTGTCGGTTGATCGAGGTATCGCTTCTTCTGTGCCACTCTGCAATTTCTGTCTTCCTCTTTCTATTTCGTACTTGCATTTGCGTCCTCACTCCGAAGTTGTGGCGCTTTCATTGGCTTCTTCTGCCGAGCTACCTTTGCTTGCGTGTTGTTTCGTGATAGTAGTTGCCGTGCTTGTGATGTTCTGTGCGGCGCCGTTTGCTTTGTAACCTGGAATTGCCCGCCAGCTGTTTGATGTAATAAACCAATGTGGGCTCTGTCCTTGTTGAAGAAACTGCTCTTTCAAGGCATGGAGAAGTCCATGAATTGAATAGCTATAGAGCGCCTGTTTAT